AAGGAAGGAAGGAAGGAAGGAAGGAAGGAAGGAAGGAAGGAAGAGAGAAAGAAAAAGGAAGGAAGGAAGGAAGGAAGATGAAAAGGTTGGAACTGCCGATTCAAATGTTTTGTACATTTTTCTAAATAAGATGCTATTACGTCATGTCCTGCTGGCTGTGAGGCATCTCCTGGTGCCTGAGTGTGCAGGACGCTGACCAGCCTGGACATCCACCCATCCAGGATGGCCTGCTTTGGGTCATGTCTGGTTGGGGTGGGAGGTGCACTGCAGTCCTCACTCAGGCCACCACTCAAACTCTTCACGGGTGCCTGTGTGTCCAGTGACAGGTCACAGGGAAAGGGGGAGTGACGGTAGTAGCTACAGCTTCTGAGCACCCATCATCTAATTTGCATGGCAGAGCTAGAGAGGGAGAGGTCATTAGGTCCACTTCTCAGAGGAAAACTGACCCCAGAGGGGTCATGTGTTACAAAGCAGGGACCTTCTGGTAACCACCCCCTGAAAAATAAAAAAAGGAGACAGAGACAGTTGGAGGCGTAGGGAGGTGTAAATATTACCTACCACCACGGTCAATTTCAAGAGATCAGTGGTTTAACAAATGACTTGCAAAATTCCTGAATACTTAACAATCAGCACCATGGATTTGAACCGGTCCTGGGCGTCTATCTCAGAAGCCCCCACTATCTTCTCTGTCAGCATTTGCTACACCTTGTTCATCTACTCACCACTTGTACAATTTTGCCACACCTGTGTTCCACCTATTATTAAATATAATAAATGGGTGGCACCTCATTATTAAATATGATAAACCTAAGGCACCTCATTTTAAGAAAGCAAGATTTTTATTTATTATTTATTTGAGAGAGAGAGAGCGAGCACAAGCAAGGGGATGGAGCAGAGGGAGAGGGAGAAGCAGACTCCCCACTGAGCAGGGAGCCCGATGTGGGGCTCGATTCCAGGACCCTGAGATCATGCCCTGAGCCGAAGGCAGACACTTAACCCACTGAGCCACCCAGGTGCCCCAACACCTCACTTTTTAAAGATGGTTGACGTTACTATGGCTGAAAAGCAAAATCACTTGCTATAAAGAATAAGGCAATATTAAAATGAACATTTAATTATTAAAATAAAAACATTCTTTGCACTTCCTAAAATACTGTTTCCATGTGCTGGCCCGGCTGACCCAGAGGCTGCACTCTGGGGACCTGGGACCCGTCCTTCTGCCACCTTCCATAACAGCATCATGTGAAAGGGCTATGGCATGTCACTGGGTCCTTCAAAAGGAGGAGACAGCAAACTGATACGAATGTGAAAATGCTCAGCCAGTGTTCAGACATGTGTCTTATACAGTCTTGATGTCCCCACAGGGCTCTTCACCTGCAGCCTTTCTTAGGACCTCAGGATCCTCTAGAAGAGTCTGCCCCGTGGGGATTGGACTGGGTTTCCATAATCATTTCACCTGTGGCCACCATTTGGCGGGAGGGAGGGACAGGGTGTTGATCAGCAGCAGCAGTGGTGGGTACAGTCAATACAGACCAAGACCTCCAAGGGACAGAGCCCCAGGGAGGAAACAAAAACAGAGAGTCCTACAGAGGGCAGCTAGTACAGGGCTAGTATCCACCAAGGCTAAATACATGCCTACCCTGCAAAGCAGCCATTCCATTCCAGAACATATACTCTCAGAGAGGCTTGCACATGTCCACCAAAAGACACACAGAGTCTTCATAACAGCTCTGCTCATGACAGCCCCAAGTGGAAACCAATACACATACCCATCCACAGGAAAAGACAGATTAGTTGTGGAATAGTATACAGCAAAGAAAAAGGGTGTGCACACGCGCACGCACACACACACACCCATTACTATATGCAAGGAAGGAAAGAATCTCACATATATAATGTCAAGAGAAAGAAACCGGACCCCAAAGAGTATGTGTTGCGTGGTTCTATTTCTATAAAGTCCAAAAACAGGCAAACTCATCTACGGTTAACAGAAATCAGAATATGGGGTGCTAATGACTGAGAAGCCCAGGAAAGCTTCAGGGGTGCTGGTAAGGTTTTCCACCTTGATCTAGATGGTGGTTACAAAGTTATGTTCACTTACTAAACATCTGTTGAGCTGTATATGTAAGATTTTTTTTTGCACTTTAGTACAGGTATGTTATATTTCAATATAAATATAATAAGTAAATATAAGAAAAAGGAATACAAAATACCAGCATAGCGCTAGATGAAGAGAGTGAGAACCAGAATGCCATCTATAACCAACACTGTTGAATAATTAAGAAGCCCATGAACATAAAGGCTACCACACATTTTGGGAGAGCACAAAAGATATACATTAAGCGCATTCATATGGTTGCCTGTGGGGAGGGAATGGGAGTGCGGGGTAGTGATAAAAGGGAAACCATAAATAATAAAATAGGATTGGGGCCTCACTAGGACCAGAGGGATCCTGTGCCATTTCATAAAGAAAAGGAAGAAGAAGAGGAGAAGGGGGAGGGGAGGAGGAGACATTAAATTTTGGACAATCCTTTGAGGTTTCCAACACTGCCCAAGGAACCCAGCTTGGGCTCTGATCCCTGGAACCACCCCAGCCCCCCAGTGCTAGGTAGCATGCTTTACACACAGGCTTCCCCTGTTCACGGCCCTGGGAGGGTAGACATTGCTCCCAGAGGAGTCAGATCAGTTTCTGAAGGACTGAACCCTTTCCCAGGACCTGGAGCTGGGAGACTGGCAACTGGGCCCACTGGAGATCTGAGGAGAAGGGGCATTTCAGATGGGGCTCAGTCAGTGACCTGGGATTTCTCAGGAGATGGGAGATGAGAGCAGGGGTAAGGGAGAGTCATGTGTGGTGGAGTCAGAGCAATAGAGGAGGGAGGCTGGAGGCTGGTGGGCAGCTCACTCCCAGACCAGCATGGGCCTCAGTCAGCCCTCAACACACGTCCTTCATGAGATCTGCCGTAGCCAAGTACCACCTGTGCTTTTACTAATACTTTTAATCAAACAAATTTTTTTTACTTAAATGTTTTAGAAGGTAGTTTTATCCAAAGTGTTGATGCGGATGTGGAGAAATGGAACCCTGGTGCACTGGTGGTGGGAACGTACATGCTGCAGCCACTGTGAAAAATGGTATGGCAGTTCCTTGAAACATTAAACATAGGGGACGCCTGGGTGGATCAGTCGGTTAAGCGTCTGCCTTCAGCTCAGGCCTCAGGTCATGATCCCATGGGATTGAGCCCCACGTTGGGCTCCCTACTCAGCGGGGAGCCTGCTTCTCCCTCCGCCTGCCATTCCCCCTGCTTGTGCTCGCTTGCTCTCTCTCTAACAAATAAATCAATCTTAAAAAAAAAAAAAGTCAAACATAGAACTACCCTATGATCCAGCAATCCCACTTCCGGGCATTTATGCAAAACAATTGAAATCTATGAATGGAGACCTCACCCCTCTCCATAGCCCATGCTTTGAAAGACCCTTGTAAGGACAAAGGAGAAGGGGGCATGAGCATGTCAGGCAGAGGCAGGCCAGGGCATGCCAAGTAAGAAAAGCAGAGCAGAGAGACCCCCACCAGGCCCGGGGCTGTCTGGGCAGGGAATTCCAGGTCTCAGGTGCCTGAACATGGGGTACCTTAGTTCCAAGAACTTCTTGGTCTGTGAGAAGGGGTTCCCGCAGCAGGAGGGCTAGAGTAGATCCCTCTTTAAGCGCTAGACCCAGGGAGAGGGCCTGGTTACTTTGGTCTAGGGGCTGTACTTTCTGGAGACAAGTAAATAAATACAATCCAGCCTCAATATGGCCAGGGCATAGCCACATGATGGCCAGTGAGGGTGGAAGGGAAGGGTCTAGAGGGAGAAATTGTGAAGGCTGTTGCTAAGAGTCACCCGTGGACATCTGATATTTTAGCCAGCACTGCATCCAGACCCTTTTCCTGGACAGAGTGCCTCGGTTTTCCTTTGAGAAGCTGCCTCTTTCTGGGATGAATATTCAGTACATTTGGTTGGGCAAGGCTGACTCCACCCCTACCCACTATGGGATTCAGAGCATCCAGGCCTGGCCGGTCAGAAGATGCTATCCTTCCTCCTCACCTCGGAGCAATAATGACTCCATAGCTCCAGTATACTCTATAGCTCTCAATACTCTATAAGCGCCTGGATTCAGCCACACCTGAGATCCTCCCCTTCGTTTATGCTTTGGAAGGGTACTCAGCTTAACTGACAAGGTGTGTGTGCTGGGGTCTGGGTAAGTCTCACCACAATCTGCTCCTTGTCCAGGGACTCCGGAGGTTTCATCTAGTCTATAGAGATCCTTCTCGAGCACACAAGTGCCCTTACAGTTCTGGGTGTTGTGTGCCCCTACATCCCCTTACGGAGGCACATCCCCTTCCCCGCGCTCCATGATGTCAATTGTATGACTTGCAGCTGACCGGCTGAAATGTGAAATCTCATAGTCATTTTTTTTAATTAATTGTGTTTTAACGGTTTTTCTTTTGCATTCTCGTTGCTTTTCCACAGCCTTTGTAAACCTCCGAGGCTACAGGCCCCGTGCGCACGATGTCCGACGCACGGACAGGGCCCCGCGCGCCTCAGACCCTCGTGCAGGCGGGCGGGAGCGGGCTGGGCCTCGCACGCATGCGCGCGGAGGCGGGGCTGCGCCCCCAGGCCTGCGCGTAGCCGTTCGGCCGCCGGGAAGGGAGGGTTTGGGTGGAGTGGCAGCGAGCGCGTGCCGGAGGCGGCCGCCGGGCTAGCGAGACTTTGTGCTCCACAGACCCTCCTTCGGGCGCATCCTCCCGGAGCCGTCCCCCAAACCCCCGCCGCTTCCAAGCAAGGCGCCCCCGACTCTGCAGGACCGGCCCTGGGGGATGGAGCGGGCCCGTCCCCAAGGCCCCAGAGGGGCCCCCAGGAGACCACCGCGCGCAGCCTGACCCGCCGTCCTCACCCAGCGGCCCATGGGCGCGTCCCCGCGGGCGGGCCGCGGACGTGAGGGCGGCGAGCGCCGGGGCCGCGACGCCGAGGAGGGCCGTGCTCGTGCCCGGCCC